TGATGCCAACATGGACAACCACAACTCGACTTTCAGCCAATTCAACAGGATATGGCCAAAATTCAAGCAGTGTATGGCCAGCATTAAAGTGTTTTCCCAATTTTCAGTGTCAGTTAATGATCACAACAGTATTTAATAAGACATGAAATATTCCATTATGCTCTTTGCTCTGAGAAACAGCTGTCCCTGGCCAGTTTCAATGCGGATATCTGCTAGTAATATTCACAGTTGGCCATCACAAGTGCACCTGTGCCTGCATGCCAATTCATGTACACATGTATTATTGTGTTATTATGGAAACACAGTCCCCTGTTTGATGTGCAGTCTTTAACAGACCCTGATCCATGTTGAGTATGCCACCTAATAAAGAGTATGCTTTTCCTGAGGGGAACTTCACAACCTGCTACCCTGGAAATTATAAGTATATTGTTTGAAAGATAAAACAGGATTGTTATACTCACCATAAAATCCTTTTCTTGGAGTTCATATAGGGACACAAGATCGGCAGAATCAGGAACACTGGGTTTTACTACTGACTTTAGGAGCAATGGAACACTAGCATTCAAAAAAACTAATGGACAGTCAAGTATACCCTTCCCACTCCAATGACGCTTTCTCAGTTTTTAGAAAGTTTAGGAAGATCATAAACAACGGTGACCTCCAAGGACTTGCCTTGTGTGCAAAAATCCTGATTTAAATGTTCATCAAGGGACACAAGATCAGTAGAATCAGAAACATTGGGACACCCCAAAGCAGTCTGAACAAGAAGAGGGCAACACAGCGCTAATATCTCAATAAAAGACAACAGTAAAATGCACTGTAGGTTGCCAGCAGCTTAAAGAGCTGCCTGCAGGACATTACATCCGTAAGTTGCATCTGCAGATGTCTAAACATTCTTTTGGTAAAGCTTAGGAAGCATGTTAAGGAGGATGAGGGAGCAGCCTTTCAAACCTGGGAAACATGATGATGACAATCCCAGGATGTTCAGACAGATCTGTGGAGTGTGTCTTACCTGGAAACAGTGGAATCTTACACTTAAAGTGATACTAAAATATATATATATATAATAAAGTTATACTTATCTGCTCTGTGCAATCGTTTTGCACAAGGCAGCTCCAATCCTCCTCTTCTTGGGTCCCCTGCCAATGTTCCTGGTAGCCTCCCAGCTGAGTACCCTCAGAGCCCAGAGAAAGCTGCTTACTCTGAGGGCACTCGTGCGTGCTTGCTCCTGAGCCACCTCAGTGTATCTGTGAGGCACACAGAGCGCTGCTAAGCCCTCCCCCCACTCCCTCCTGTCTTCAATTGACAGCCAGCTGCTGTTTTCAGCCAATGAGGACGGAGACACCCAGGAGAGTCACTTCCCTCATGTACAGCACTAGATCGTGATTGGGTTCGGGTAAGTATTGGGGGGGCTGAAGGAGACTCTGCACACAGGTTTCTTGCCTTCATGCAGAGAATGCATGAAGGTAACAAACCTTTAGCTTTTAGGACCGCTATAAGCTGGCAGGCCTATAAAATTACCTGTTTGAACCACCATGAAATTGTGGAATGTGAAGCAAGCTCTTCATTACTGGGACCTTCATGAATGATGAAAATCTAGTCAGTCTGTCAGAAGGAAGATGTAGAGAGATAGACACAAATTGTTGTAACCACATCCATCTACAGTACTAGCAAGGAGTTGGGAGTGATTCCTTCTTCCTTTACCTGCTGTGTGTATTGAATACATCTAGTCACTGTCAGATCCTGTGTTCCTGTTTCCCCTGAAGACATCATTTCTGACAAAATGCACATAGGGGCATGCGATCTGGCGTCACTACACATATGTGATGCATGGAAGAATTTGATGATCTTTATTTCTTCTGCTGCTTTGTGAATGCATTATGTGTACAATAAATTTAGATCATTTTATGGAGTTACGTTACTGTAGGTATGGCCTTTTCTTTGATGAGATTCATATAACACGAGCATTCCCATAAGTGAAGAGGAATAAACTGGGGCTGTTGAAGAGATTCCCTTTCCGGCTACCACCTGCTTAATATTATTAAAGAGCAATTGTGAGATCCATAATAAAAGGTCTTTGGATTCAGAGGTATTTTTTGTGGTGGTAGTGGTGATTTTGGAGTGTCCCTGATGGTGATTCACTGTGTGTTGGAAAACTTAAGTGGTCACAAGAAGTCATTATTACAAATTATATAATTCTAGCAGACTTTTACCTAATATTTCACAAACGGGGTGGTGGACCTAAAGTGATACTAAACGCACACTATGTCATTTACATGATCCCTTCTCTTTCTGCATGTGGATAATGGCACTGTCATTATTTTAATTAAAAAAAAATCTCTAAGTAACTTTTCCTAATCGATATACTTCTGTCACATGACCAAGCTCTTTCCCAGCCTGTCTGCAGGGAAACATAAGCAAGAGGAGCTTCTATTCCTCAGCTGCTGGTAACATGTTCAAAATAAAAGCCGCCCACCACCCTATAGTAGAACTACTGCTACAGGGCGGCAAAATCACATATATACGTGCTTTGCATTTCCAGGTAGGGGGCATGCTCATGCACCGCCCTACCCGCTCCACCCTACCTGCACCGCCATTGGCGGCTACGGATGTCATTTATCGGGTCCCAGCCAGAGATTCCCCGCCGGCACCCAGTGATTGCCGTTCAACACTGACAGGGGAGAGACCTGTGTGTAAACAATACAGGTCTCTCTCCTGCCAGCAAGAACATGCTCTCTGTGCAGAGCAGAGAAATACACAGCAGCATGTTTCCCTAGTAAAAAACACACAGCACATAATATAAAACAGCACACAGTTAACCCTTTGATCACTCCAGATGTTAACCCCGTCCTGCCCAGTATAGTTAGTACAGTGTCAGTGCTTTTTATTAGCACTGATCAATGTATTAGTGTCATTGGGATGCCAGTGGCAGTTAGTCAGTTCCCAGCCAGTATCAGAATGCCCATAGCAGTCCCGCTATAATTTGCTGATTGCTGCCATTACTAGTGTAAAAAAAAAACTATTTGTAGACACTATAACTTTCACGTAAACCAATTGATTTACACATATTGGATTTTTTTCTAGCAAAAACATGTGACAGAATACATTTTGGCCTAAACTTATGATGAAATTTAGTTTTTTTTTTAATTTTGTTACTGGATAGGTTTTATAGCAAAAAGTAAAAAATATTGTTTGTTTTTTTTTAAGTCTTTTTGTGTTTATAGCGCAAAAAAAAAACCATACAGGTGATCAAATACCATCAAAAGAAAGCTCTATTTGTGGAAAAAAGGACATAAATTTCATTTATTTACAGCGTTGCATGCTCACGCAATTGTCAGTTACAGTAATGCAGCAGCATTCCGCAAAAAAAATGGCCTGGTCAGGAAGGGGGGGGGGGGGGGTAAATCCTCTGGAGGGCAAGTGGTTAGGAAACAGAGTAAAAATAATTAATATCTTTATTATTTTTTGTTAATAACTGGGTGTGGGTGGATTTCTGCCAGTCATAAACTGTGTCACACCCATCCAGCCTGAGTCTTAGAATAACAGGGATATGAAGCCTCCATCAATCAAGATGTAATATCCCACCCCTATTGTGTTCAGCTGCTTAGTGGGCATGAAGGAGGAAGGGTGGGAGCTGTCACTTATCACTGTGTATACGCCCACATATGTGACTCTATAATCAAATGGGCTGCTCAGGTGTGATAGAGAGGAAATGCTCAGCATAGAAACTCACTGCAACTGAGCAACTGAGCATGTGCATTAGCTGCCAACACTGTTCTGCAAAATCCCCAACTGCATTGAGGGCACAAAAGGGGAAGATAGAGAACAGCAGGATCAGAAAATGAATCCATAGTGAATGGGTGAGTATAAATAGCATGTAATACAGCATTTGATAGTTTTTATGATTTGGGTTTAGTGACACCTTAAAGCGGAGCTCCACCCAAAAGGGGAAGTTCTGCTTTAAATCTTTGTGCCCCGCTCCCCATTATGGACTGGCACCTTTGGGGAGCAGGTCCCATGACTCTGACAGGTACCCGCTCCCACTTCCACTGCGATCGCCCAGGCGATTGGAAGCGGAAGTTGACACATGACAGGTGCCAGAAGACTACGGGGCCATTCACAAAGCGCAGTGCTTTTCGCGCATGCGCATTGGGTACCTGGCTGTGAAGCCGCAAGCTGTCACAGCCGAGTGCCCACACTGAAGATGTCAGTACTAGGAAGAAAAGACAGCCGGTGAAACCAGCCATGATGAGGACACCGCTGGACCAAGGGATAAGTACTGTATTTTAAAAGTCAGCAGCTAGTTTTCGTAGCTGATTTTTTTTTTCAGGTGGAACTCCACTTTAAGTATGTTTTGAGATTGTGTTTGGAGTTTGCACTGAGTTTGTTTCTATTGCATTTACTATTGTATTATACTCACTATTCATAAAGGGATAAGACTGAACATGTATTTATGTAGACATATTTGAAGTATCTGTTGAGGAAGGGGGAAGTAGCTATTTTGAGCGTGATACTAGTTACACATTTTTTAAGTTGGTTTAAATATTTTTTGTTGATATTCCTTTGACGTTTTTTGATTGCATTAGTACAGAGTTCACTAGGGTTTAGTATATTAATCAAATCAATGGGCTGCAAAATCGCACCGCACGGGACCACGTTCCTCTGTGAATCATGTGTGAACCAGTCCTGATATGGTTGAAGAGCTGCAGCTAGGTGGGAATAGCTAGGTGGGAATAATATAGTTGGAGAGCATGGGCACTATTATTATTTATACAGTACATCTATACCACCAGAGCTAGCATCCTTAGCAAATGCCTTTTACCATCTTGCTGGTAACTAAGGCTCCATGTACACTGCAGCCGATAAATACGTTTAGGAGCTTTTCTGCATTTTTTTTCAGCAGCCCCTGAACTCTCCCTAATGTTTTCCTATGTGCCCATGTACGCATCATCGTTTACAGTCATTTACAGGCAGTTGAGTTTACAGTCGGTTTTTTTTGAACGCAACAAAATTGCGTTCAGGAGTAGATTTTATTAGCGTTTCAAAAGCCAAATGCTTGTAAACGTAGCTAACCGTGTTTATGAACGTTTGCGGTTAAAACTTTTTTTTAACTCTTCCATTTCCAGATGCTGTCCAGAGCCTTTTTTCATCATGAAAAATGCACGCAAAGAGTTTTTCCGGTATTCAAATGGACCTGGTACACCAAACTTTGAGGTTTCACATGAAAGAAAATATGTTAAGACACTGCTGCACAAATTTCTGCACAGAAATGAGCTGGAACACATCCAAACACCACCACAAAAAAAAAAAGACAGCTAACCTCAACAAATACTGCTCTGTCTGTTTCTGCTCTCTATTTCTCTCAAAATGTCTGAAATAGTTACTTTTTTACTGTTTTTCAGTGCATTCTGGAAATTTCGGAAGGTCTCCTGAGGTTATCTTAAAAAAAAAACGCTTTTAAATGCAAATGCTCATAAAAACGCGCATAAACGTGGTATGCAAATGCAACTAAACAGACGTTTTTTCAGCAGTCAGTTTTCATCGTTCAGAAGTGTCCCGTGTACATGGAGCCTAAAGATATACTCCTTCATCCCTACTCAGCATTTTTGGATCTTCTGCCCAAGAGAGACATTCTAACATTTTCCTCACCTCTAACACTATACAACATTTCCAGTTTTGGGATTCAAAATACCATGTAGGACTACTTGTGCTAATGGAAACTTATTCAACTTTTTTCTTTAAAAATTGTATACGCTGTCAGCAGCTCACCTCCCCTCTGCCTCCTCAGAGCATTTAAAGACTGAAGGAAAATGTAAGGACTTCCAAAGCTGATCTTCGGTTAAAAATACTGTTTATGTTGACATGCAAGGAGATGCTGGCACAAGTATGCATATCTGGCAAGTCAAATCTCATCTGCATACTTGTTCTGAGTAAAATACTCAGTATAGGAGACAGAAGGCTGTATGACAGATAGGTAACTAGTATTTGCAGGATTAGAAGTCAGCAATGGCATACATCACATTAACTTGTTTCAGTTGTCAAATGCATCTTTTTTTTTTGGAGTTGAAGCCCTATAGAGCTCAATGGACCATACAGACAACGCTACCGAGTTCCATTCTGCGTGCTTCAGTGACAGCCTGAAGCAGGCAGAGCACAGATGGAATTTTGGCAGGATATCAGACATGCTCTAAACTTCCATTCTCATTAGTCTTTAAGGGAATGTATAAATATATACACATTAAAAAATAAATATATATATCTACACATACATATTATATACATACAGTATACACACACAAATATTTATGTAAATGAACTTAAAGAGTATGTCAAACCAACATTTCATATTCCTGATATGTGCCTGCTATACCATGTGCTTGTATAAAAAAGTAACCCGTTCTCTTTGTATTGCTTCCTTTGTGTGAAATACCTGATATTCCTGACAGTCCCCACTGCGTTCCTGTTAAAAAACTGACCATTAGCATGAGAGAACCACCTGGTCAATTTTCTGGCTATGCTGGGAGATAATCCAATGATCAGGCTGATGCTGATATGTCTCCCCTACACAGCCATTTACTGGGAAGATCAGTGTGCTGCTGTTTGTCCTCCCTGAGCTCCTTATACAGTATGTGATCACTTATAAGAAAGGTAAAAAATGCATGTATAATGTTTTTTGTACCTATACATAAATGTTTTGCCTTTCATTTCTATTTTAAACTGAATGGGTTGTTTTGCAAGGTTAGGGTTCACATATACTTTAATGAAAATGAATCCTGCTTACACAGTGGTTGTGATTTACTATTGATCCTTCTCCTGCAAGTCTGAATCACCCTACTCATTAAAAACAAAGCACTTCCTGTGTGGGTGTTTTCCCAACAATTGTTAGCAGTGATGCAGCGTGGGTTGGCAGTGTCCGGGGCAAGGGCAATTTGCACCCCGTAACCCATGGACTTACCTATTCTCAGCTCACTCCAGTCTGGTCACATGACCCCCTGTGTCAATCAGCAGTGGCTGCAAGTGATAGAAGAGAGCGCTTCATAATGGCTGGTAAAGCCTGGAGCGGTGAAATCACCCATAGGTTCCTAAGTCCCATCTGTTGTTGGTGCTCCCTCCTCTCCCCTGCATACACCACTGGCTCACACATGGAATAACCTGACCAGAATAGAGCAGCCTGAAAATAGGTGTGTACATCTTTTCTGCACAGGCTAGTTAGGTTTAAACTGGAAATTTTACTTTAATCCATTCCCATTGGTGGGCATTGGCAGATTTAATTAACCACTTTGTGCTGCATCAGTGGCCACTGGCAGTGCTTTTTTGGACCCCTTCATAAAGGGGTTGATTAACACTGATACTGGTGCCACTATTGCAGCACAAATGAGTTAAATAACTGTTACTAGACAATGCATCAATGAGCAGTGGCAGAACATTAACACCTTCTTGCTGCACTTTACTAACAACATTGTTAATAAACCCCTTCAACACCCCACCCCCCCCAAGAGTTAACCAGCCCAGTTCACAGGTAAGATAGAAAGAGGGGAGGAAAGATAGAGAGGAGGGTGAGAGAGAGGGGGATGAGAGAGGGAGGGGTGAGATGAGACAGGGGGTGGGGGAAAAAAGAGGGGGGATGAGAGAAAGGGGGTGAGGTTGAGGGGGATGAGAATGGGCTGGGGGGGTGAGAGAGAGAGGGAGAGAGAAGGGTGGTGAAAATGGGCTGAGAAAGGGGGGTTGAGAAGAGGCTGAGGGGGGGGGGATGATGAGAGAAAGGGGATTGAAAGGGGTGGTGAAAAGGGGCTAAGGGGGAGTGAGAGAGGAAGAGAGAAAGATGGGGGGTGAGAAGGGGCTGGGGGGGAGAGAGAGGGGGGGGACCAGAAGGGGCTGAGAGAAGGGAGGGGGGGGAGAAATGGAGGGGGAGAGGGGAGTGAGAAGGGGCTGAGAGAGAAGGGGGTGAGAGATCAGGGGAATGAGACAGATAGAGAGGGGGTGACAGTGAGGGGGAGGTGAAAGAGAGAGAGCGGTGTTAGGGGGGGGTTGAAAGAGAGAGGGGGTGAAAAAGAGAGGAGGGTTAGAGAGAAGGCTTGTGAGAGAGGGGGGTTGAAAGAGAGAGGGGGAGGGATGAGAGAGGGGGGTGAAAGAGAGAGAAAGAGGGGGTGTGTGAGGAGGGGTGAAAGAGAGAGGGGGGTGAAAAGAGAGAGGGGTGAAATTGAAAGAGAGAGACGGGGGGGTGACAGAGAGAGAGTGGGGTGAAACAGAGAGAGGGCGGCGGAGATGAGAGAGAGATCCCTAGCCCTCTCTGCAGTTCCTCCTCTGCCCCCAGTCCCAGTCTCTGTCTGAGGGTAGGAGTATGATGCCCAGTACCTTCCATGCCAGTAGGCGCCTGTGCAGGGGTGGATTGACAACTCATGGGGCCCCCGGGCTATTGGGGATCATGGGGCCCCTGTGTCCTTGCCCACACTCAAAACACACCCAAAAAAGCCTATAAAAGGTACCATGGGCATTTTATGGAGCCCCCTACTGACCCCAGGCGCTCGGGCAGTGCCCTAGTGCTCGAATGGTCAGTCCGCCCCTGTGCCTCTTCTCAGGGCCGCTGTCACTGTTGGAGCGGAGGAGGTTAGAGAAGGAATCCAGTCTCTGGCAGACACTGCCACACCGGAGATACTGTGCAGCCTGCGTTTGCTGCTGCTCACCTCTTCAGGGAGGCAGTGGAGGTCCTTGCCCTCCCAAGCTCTCAGGTCTAGCTATCCTCGCTGTTCGCGGCACCCAATCCCCAAGGACTCTGCTGTTTTCTTCCCCTCTCCCACCGCCACTAAACTGGACTCTTCAATTTCAGCGCCCCCCCCAAATAGTGTGCCGGGGTGACTGTACTGGCTGTCCCCACCCCACACTACGCCACTGGTTGTTAGGCAGGAAGTGATAGTACCAAGCTCCTTCTTGTTATTGATTCTCTACATATAAAAAAAAATATATATAAAAGAGTGCGCTTTGTAAAACTTTTGAAAATACTGAAATACTAGGTCAAAAGCTGAAATAACTTAATCTCTTATTGCCAGTCATATGTATATATGTTGTAACCAGGTGACGGGCTTCAACACAGAGCTGCAACAGTTATGTGTACAGCTGGCATCCCTTCTTCACTCAGAGCTTCCAGCTCAGTGACTATCGGATGATGAGACTGTGAGTCACTAGTAGATCACAGTCACTGTTCACATTGATTGGGAGCTAGTGGGGCATTCCGCATCACATGAGCACTGTAAAAGCCAATCACAGTGATCACATGATTGGAAGCCCATGTAATGCCTCTGCCATTACAAACTTTTAAAAAGCTGGCTCCAGCCAACCAGATATGGTTAAAATATACTTTTCTATACTCCCTAAAAGTAAACTTCACTTTTGCTAGGGAAAAAAAAACAAACCATGCAGGAAAACTACAGATCAACAGAGTTTGAGGTTTCATACATTTTTCTATTCTGAAGAAATAGCTCTATGCCCTACCATGTTCTTTCTCAATGCAAAATATAAATTAGTCTTCATTAATCAACCTCACTAAGCTGGTCTCAAGTGCTGCTTCTTAGCTGTGACATGAGATCAACAAGAGGAAACAGTGAAAGCTGTAGAAGACTACAGAGATTGACACTCCCAGAAGTATCAGAAATGGAGAACCATTTCTAGTGATCAAAGTGGAATTCAGGAGTGCGGGCAATAGAAGAGGTAAATATACAGTCTCTTCTTTACATGTATGGGCTTAGTTGAAGATGCAGTATTTCAGTATATGACAGGGTTGCTTTAAAGTACATCTCCAGACAAACACTATCTCTCTTTACATCCCTTCCACACTTTTTCAGCTATTTAAAACTTGATGAAATACCTTCTAATGTAGTTTCGATACTCACCTAAATACTCTGCCATCTGTTCCTCACTGCCGTCACTTCCATAAGTCACGACTGTTGGATCCAGCCAATAGGTCACTTCTTACAGAAATGATCTATCCACTTTAGTCTTCAGTACCATGAGTGTCCCCACTATTGGGCAGTCAATAGTTAGTGTCCATGTCTCTTCCA